ACACAGTATATACCCTAGTGTGTATAACCAGTACATCCAGATCATGCAATGCTTTGAACTGCCAGCCTTTTCCATCCTTTTGTATTTTTACATCGTCATTTTAAATGTGCAGGTTTAAAAACACTTGAATGATGCACTGTAGTTTCCTGTGGTCTGTTGTACTTAAAAGCAGACTAACATATGTGGCTACCAGGAGCCACAAAAAGAAGATATTGGCTTAACTGAGCCTTTTTTTTCCCCTTAGAGTTGCAGGTATACTAGTAAATTTGAACACATTCAACTAAGCAGCACAGAGTCTGAAGTCTGCAGTTTTAGCATTTAGGCTCAGTTGCTGTCATTAATTCTTTTATAAACTTTAAAATATAACTACATTATTTGTTTTACCACTCTGTGATATTCCTGTCCTTTACTGATTACACAGGCATTTAAAAAAAAATGTTCAATATTAATGTTCAAAGCACTCTCTTGATTTGATCCCATTTATTATGATTTTATTGTCAATTTTTACTTAGTTTATATCAGGTTATAGTTCAGCCTTTCAGAGACTACAGCTGGTTTCCAGGTACAGGACTGAGACCAAGTTCATGCCTTACTGCATAGGACCCCAGCAGCATTTTTATTTTATGTTGATTTTTTTTTTTCAGTTGTTCTCTATGCCTCATTAATCTTGCAGTGATTTTACTGTTCATTTTAAGGCTTTAAAAAAATTTTGCCCTCTGTTAAGCACTTGCCTTTCCATTTACTACAGCTCAGAATTTGACAGCACTTTACTGTGCACTGAAGCATGCATCATGTTAAAAGATGTACAATAAGCAAGACTGTTTCCTTGCCATGTCTCTCTAGTGATACCAGCTCTGGGAATGCTTCCCATTGGAAAGGTCTTAAAACATTTTACAAGAAACTTAAAAATCAGACACATTTTACAGATGAGTAAACAAAAACACAAAGGAGTGACATTATTCAACTACATTAAACACAGAACATAGGTCTTCTGCGGTCTAGCCCAACCTTTAGCATCTAGACCAAATTTTCATGGATACCATATCTGCTTTGTGAATGTAATAAAACAAGAATGGTGATATGAATACAGTCTGATACTTACGAACAGTTAGCCAGTTCCTCCTGCATGCTGTTCACAAGCTACCTCTCTTTAATCTGTAAAAAATTGCCTATTCAGTAGGGGGATTGTTTTTTGTTTGTTTGTTTGTTTGTTTTAAAACAAGTAAATAATTCAGTAGTTCACTAGTGGCTCTGGTGTGTGCACATACTAGAAGGTCTTCACACCAGGAAGGCGGCCACTTTTTGTCATTGTGTTGCTTACAGTATAAATAATTCAGAGCAGGGACCTTTGACTTGTGTTTTTGGAGTTCTGTCTTCAACTCTTGTGCAACAAAACTGTATACCTGTAAAGTTCAAATAAAATATTAGACTACACATGACAAACTTTTTCAAATGGGACTTTTTCTAAGTAGCTTTAGTCTTTACATTGGCATTGTTCCCAGCATATGGTTGAGTGGTTCCTGGTAGTTGACTACGCTATGCACTTTAAAGAGGAAGACAACAAAGGTCAAGTTGTTCATAAAATCATTAGTGAAATGTCAGAAACAATTTAGTCTAAATAAAATATCTCCCTGAAGATAAGTAGTACCCATTATAAAACATTCCTTCCAACTGCATACCTATGCTGTTGAATTCATCAGATAAGAATTGGACAGTTGACAAAATCTAAATGCTGATATGGAAGATACATATTTCAAGAATATTTTCTCTGTAAAAGCAGAGGATAAAAGAGGGGCTTTGGTTTTGGGAGAGAATGAAGCCTTTTTTTTGTTTGAAATATAAACTCAGACTGAAACTAATTTAAGACAATTTCTCATTGTGACCCCAAATTTAGCTTGAGTTTCAAGTTAACATCACCTTAGTTGGCAGGCAATAAATAAGCTCAATATAGTATTGTCTGTTTACACTATGACATACTTTAATTTCATAGTAGCATTTCTTGCAAGGTGTGAAGGTGTCCCAGCAGTTTACCTCATTGAGTCCTACCTGGCGATGGAACAATTTGAGAGTAAGGTTCACCCCTTTTCTAGCTTTTTTTTCTATTCTTTGGAAAAGAAGTTTGCAGTCTGCTCCTCTGTCTTGTCCTTCAACCTGAACACGTGCAGTTCTGATGAAGCAGGTGGGAATCCCTCCTGCATTGGTGTCAGGATGTGATGACCTGTAATACAAGAGAAGGAGGAATTGATGCAAAGATTGAGTCCAGTGAGGGAAACAGAACTTAATGTGGGAGATCTATGAAGCCATTGGCAGGGCTCAAATTTGTATTTTTAATATGGGAAAATACAGCTATTGAGACGGACTTGATCTCAAAGGTCTTTATATTTCAGATTATTATGACTACTTTAGGCTATTTTAAAAGCATGAGCTGCAGCACTTCCCCTGGTTTGCAGAGCCAAGGAAGATTGATGTTTGCAGTTCTGTTGTGCCTAAAGGTTCTGTATGAATAAAATATTTGACACTGGTTAAAGGGATATAATATTGGATGGATGGCCCTCATCTTTTCCTCTTTTTAATAAAGAATTTGGTCGTTAATAGTTCTGGGACTCATGATATGTCACTAGTACTAAAGAACCTCCTATTTTCAGGAACTCAGTTTATCAGATTCTTATTTGAAAGATTTTAAGACTCTAAACTTTGAATGACAAAAATGTAGTTTCTGTATAGATTACTGTTTGATTCATTTTATTATTATTCTATTAAGCAATAAAAACCTAATTTGAGGCTTGGGTAAAGCACTGTTTATAGATCTTTGGCTTCATTTACAGCATTCACAGTGCTCACTGAATTAGCTTTTCAGAATCCAGGTGGTGGTTATTAACACTGGCTGATGCCTTTATCATTAAATTATAGAGTATTTAATGGTTATGTCTAACAAATGTTTTGTTGTATCGAAGACATGTTCATTGCAAATCTTGATGAGACACTATTTTGTTGACATTAGCTATTAAAACAAAAGAGTTGACATGATGGATCATAGCATGTGCAATGCTATAGATGCTCATGTTCAGTTCCATCAAGATCGCATATGCTTCAATAACGTTTCAGTAGATGAATCATAACTCAACAGAAGGTTTTATGCCCTCGTACAGCAAGGGTCATATAACACAAAAGGCATTCAGATGCTTTTAAAATGTTATGCTTTTCAGAAAACTTTAAAAAAAAAGTTTCATGTTTACAAATGAGACTGGCTCTTTTCATGCCTTGATTGTATGTGATTAACAGGGCCTCGGAAGTCCAGTGTGCTCTTAGATGCAACTTTTTCACAGTTCCTTGTAACTGGCATTACATATTGGGCTACTGCTCAGTTCCTGGTGCTTTTCGTTTCAAGCACTTTCTGTAATTGGTTTGTATGATAACAAGGCTTGTCATGCTTTAACCCCAGCTGGCAACTAAGCCCCACACAGCCACTCGCTCACTCCCCCCTGGTGGGATGGGGGAGAGAATCAGAAGAGTAAAAGTAAAAAAAAAAATCCTCATGGGATGAGATAAAGACAGTTTAATAGGTAAAGCAAAAGCCGCACACGCAAGCAAAGCAAAACAAGGAATTCATTCACTGCTTCCCATCGGCAGGCAGGTGTGCAGCCATCTCCAGGAAAGCAGGGGTCCACCACATGTAACGGTTGCTTGGGAAGACAAACACTATCACTCTGAACATCCCCCTCTTCCTTCTTCTTCCCCCATCTTTATGTGCTGAGCATGACGTCATATGGTATGGAATATCCCCTTGGTCAGTTGGGGTCAGCTGTCCCAGCTGTGTCCCCTCCCAACTTCTTGTGCACCCCCAGCCTACTCGCTGGTGGGGTGGTATGAGAAGCAGAAAAGGCCTTGACTCTGTGTCAGCACTGCTCAGCAGTGACTAAAACATCCCTGTGTTATCAACACTGTTTCCAGCACAAATCCAAAACATAGCCCCCTACTAGCTGCTATGAAGAAAATGAACTCTATCCCAGCCAAAACCAGCACAAGCCTACAACTCTAAAACAGTGACTCCAAACCTCTCCCTCCTTTGTTCATTTTTTCCATCATCTGCTCCAAAGTGAAGATTTATCCTGAGGCTTTTGTCACTGTCAGTGAGACTTATTGGCCTCTGAATATGTGGTCATTTGTTCATTCCTCGCTTAATGGATATTAACTGATTTGATCAGGAAATTGTATGTCACCTTACAAAACTAACCACTTTGTGATTAGGGTGCTGTTCAGACAAATCTCAGACACAGTGCTCCCATGATTTCCTTACTGAAAACAAAAGCAGCCCTGCTACTTAAACACTGGCTAGTATTTCATTAAACAATTTATACCAGCCTGGATCTTTTTATTATAATGAAATGTGTACACTGATGTGACAGAATACAAATGCATAGATCTTTTTATATTTCCATGACACAAAGACTAATGTGTCACTGGCTTGGCTAACAAATGAAGATCTTTCTAACCAAACAAGACACTGACTGCAGCTTACTGCAACACTCTTCATATTTTGATGCATAGCTGCAATTCCAAGGATGAATTGTGGGTTGTAAAACTGGCTGAGCTGGAAGTTAGGATACTTTTCCCCTTCTCCAACAAACGTGGATGAAGACTAGGTGATTAACATACACAGATTTCCATGTATACAGTTTTCTGTAGGTGTATTATATACTCTGTTATTCACATTAGGATTTTCTGTGGAATCAAATATGTATTAATATGTTTCATTAAAATGAAAGCCTAAAGACCACCCAGGCTGACATTCACTTCAGCAGAATATCAAATTAAACTAGGTTTAAGCATGTTCTTCTAGAATCAAGGCAGAGGAGACAAGTCATTTTAATAAAATATCTATTTACCTTGTTTATATAGAAGAATAGAATCTAATTTATTTGTGTGCCCATCTGGACTCGATTGCTCATTTTAAGTTAATTTAACAAATGATAGACTGCTGCTGGCCTTTTCTTTCCCAGGAGAAGAGGTTGACAGACAGCTGTGTAGAGATGCTATCTACCCAATCCCGGTTGTCTGCGAAGCTCCATGCCCAAAGGACTGTGTGCTCAGCATGTGGTCCGCATGGTCCTCCTGCTCACACACCTGCTCCGGCAAAACCACAGAAGGGAAGCAGATGCGTGCCCGCTCCATTCTGGCGTATGCAGGTGAAGGTAAGGTCGCATACTCTTGCAGACTCCTGTTTGACGGAGAATTCTCAACTGTCTTTGCAATGTCAAAGTTATTTCTTGATCAACAGAAACAAATTATTAGATGGAGTTGTGTATTTAAATATAGAAAAAATATTTAAATGCTTATCCTACATTTACTCACGGTACCTAAAGCTGTTTTAAAGAGGAGATTTTATTTTGCTTATCTCAGTTAATGTTGCTTTTTTTTATTATTTTGCATAATGTTACTGTTTTGATTTTGAATATGTGGTTTTCTCATTTTCTATGGGAAAATTAAATGTTAAAATTAAACAAGGCAAATGATTTATCCTATGCAGATCTCTATGAAAGATATTTATAGAGGATTGTTAGTAACCCTAGCTATAATTTAGGTCCAATTTGGAAGGATATAAGTATGAATGCTGAAAAGATGAGAGTTTTAATGGGTTCAAATGCTAACAAATGGCTTTTGTAGCTTCTTTGCTCAAATTGGTAACTAACGTTACCCCATTAACATTTTTATTCATAGTAAGACTTTGGTTTTACCCTGCAAATCCTCGCTCATGTGAATGGTTTCCATTCATGCAAATGGTCCTTGTGCAACTGTCTGCAGCAAATACGAAGAGAAGATACAGCTGAAATATAAATAGGAGAAGAAGAAAAAGGCTTTAGATATAGATTCATGTCTATTCTTTGATGATTTTCCATGCTTCCTATGAATGGTTTTGTTTTGTTCTTAAGTATTTTGGGGGGTAATAGAGCAAATGTATTCTATATGTAACATGGTGCTAAAATGGCCATGTCAGGTGTGTCGGGGTCCAACTGGTAAAATGCCTTGTGCAACACTGGCAGCAAGGAGACATAGTCACCAAAGAGTTCTTGGAAAACGTTTACTCACGTGTATTACTGACAGTAAAGTTAAATGCCTTCAATACAAAAGGATACATGCATGTTTTAATTCTTCTTTAAAACTGTTAAATATTTTATTACTTCAGAGTTAAGATGAAATTTAGCTGAAAAATGAAACCTGTAAAGTATGGAAGTAGTGAAACAGAATACCCATTCTGAGAAATGGAGAAAGAAAGGGACAGGCTTCATCATATACCAAAACACTTCTTTATTTGCAAACACAGTTAATTTCATTGCTAAAAGTATACTGTGTATTTGACATAATTTGGGTAATTGTAAAAAAATATGTAGCAGAGCAGGCACGTTCAACCTTCTCCCTGAAAAGGACCTTTGCTACAAGTGTAAGATGCAGTCAGAACTATACTCATTTTAGTAGGTGATTCAAATAATAAATTACTTAGATGGATCTATGTAGCAAAGTAGAAATGCTCGTAAAATTAGAAACAAAATTGGTTTTATGTTGTCTCTTTTTTTATAGTGTGTCAAATGGACACTTTTTGAGGGAAACATAGAGCCACGTTTTCAGATGATAATTCAAATAAACATATATTCACGTGCTTCTTGCTTTTCCATGTAGGTCAAGATAATAGATTTTTCATATGCTTATGCAGTTTTATTGGAGACGGAAATTTAACATCCTGACAAGCATGCCACAGAAGTGACAACCTAAATTACTGTAGAAAATTATTCCAGTTTCTTATGCTTCTTTTTAAAAAGTACCCATTTTATTCTGACTTTGGTACTTAACACATCCTAGGATAATTTACAAGGCTGCAAATGCAGCAAAGCAGTTAAGCATAGGCTGGATTTTAGGTGTATGAATTTTATTTATGTCTGTTGCATATAAATAAAATGTTCTGATCAGAACCAGCACTGAGTCATCACAAAGATCGACAGGTCTCAAACCACACAGGTAGCAGTGAAGAGATCCCTAGACTACTGCTGAGAAAGCCAACTCATTACCTAGATGTTGTAGTGCTTCAGCTTTGCTCGAACCCTGGCCTCTTTACCACTATTCCGAGATGAAGTTATTCTGTGCTTTTTTTAAGGACACAAGCTGGTATGTCTACCTATCTTATAGCAATTCACTCACATCTTGGTCAGATATCTTCAACACCATGCTATAATTGCATGCAATAGTGCAATTGCACTCTGTACAAACTCCAGAGAAAAAAATATGTAAATAAATAAAAGAACCTTCCAAGGCTTAGCATATTGTTACGTGTCTAGCTGGAAGGTACTTTTTGCCTTTGCTTGTATTATATTCAAAATCAGTTTAGCTTTTATTTTTTATGCTTCACTGAAATTATTGTCATCTTTCTCCTCATATGTCTCTTATGCCTTTTAGTCATTTGTTGCGTGACAAATAACTGAATGACTTTTCACCTCCAGAACTGCATGACAGAGATCAGCAGTGTTCCCAAAACATAAAACACTGATTGTGTAGTTGATGCTGGGAGGTCATTTTATGTTCTGGGGGCACAGAATATATTCATGTATCTGAAAGTCTGTATTCTGCTGATATAAAAGGGAAGCTCCACATGAACCTTTTTTAGGAAACATGCAGTTCTCAGTTCTATACAGAGCTTATAAAAAATGCACGTTATTGTTGATGAAAACTCTGTAAACATCATGTATAACTAAAAATCCTAAGTCTCATAAATGTAAGACCAATAATTCCATTTACACATTAAAACTGAATTCTGAAAATAGCTATCAGTTCCGTTCAGGTGAACGGTCCCACAGGTGTTCCCTTTTGGATTTTTGAACCTTTCCTTGAACTGTTGGTATGAGAGGCAGACAAGGTTAGGTAAGCCATTTCGTAGTAATTCCTGTATAATACAGCCATGATATTTGAGAGTTTTTATTCAGAATACAATAGGACAAATATATTGTACATAAATATATACAGCTCCTATGATATCAGGACTGGACATTAATTAATGAAAGAATGGGCGAGTCTGTTGCCAATCTATGACTAAGGCTAAACTTGGCTTCTAAGATGACGTAAGGAGTCCAGGTTTATCACTGTGAGTCCTTGATCACGCATCCTCCTGCTAGTCACGGAGAATTCAGTCTACAAGGCTGGCAAGATCACAGCGTTGCAGGCATTACATACACGAGGAATATTGCAGTCCCTCAAAGTATCTGCAGTGCTTAATTCTTGTTCATTGGGGTACTTAAATGTGAACACCCCATTGAAATTTTTGAGTGTCTGTAAAGACATACGAAATAGGTTCTTTCATCTGGATCTCGTATGGCTTCTTATCAAAATATTGTCTGTGATTGTTCAGTTTCTCTCCTCTTTGAAATAAAAAATACTATATTCTGTCATTTTCCTTGTTAATGTTGGCAGATGACTGTCTGTGATAGAGCTATGTCATTTCACACTTAAGACCTTATTTTTCTTCTTGCTTCCCAGCTATCTATGCTGCTGAATTGGTTTGAAGAAACCATCAAGTTAGCATAACTGGCCACCAGGAAACAGCCACAGTATAATTGATTTTCTTGGATGACTTAGAATAGGAATAATTCAGTAGTGTTATAATAGTTCCTTGGTGACAAGAATAGATTCATAGGAAAAATTGAAGCCATATGTAAATTACAGTAGTGACAAAGTTTTCTAATGAGCTCTGGGATACGACTGCCCCTCCAGCACCACACTGACTTCTGCTCCAGCCAGGAGCTGACCTCGGCCGTACGCCCTCTCATCAGCATTTCCTCATTCAGAACAACACCTCTTCCACATGGTCAAACTAGACACTGCAGAGCCTCAAGCACGGTGTGGTTATGCACATCTGGGATGGCTTATTTACTTGCATTCAGTGGAGAGAGAGAGAGAGTCTCTTTCCTCAAGATAAAGGCTTTCTGTGGTTTGTGAGATGACTCCATGTGGAAACTGGCGTCACAATAACCGGTTTTGATATCTTTTCTGAGATCATTGTCCTCAGCTTGAAGGTTTGAAAAGCGAAGTGATTTGTAAATTTGCCTGTCTGTGAGCCTGCCTATAGTGGTAGCTCATTTGTGTCACTGTCAAATACATCTTCATGCTACAGTAAGAAACTCAGGAAAGTCATTCTCTCAAAATTTAAAATGACAGCAGAGGACATAATGATGTTACCTGATACATCATATAGTTGTTCTGCATAAGTCTAGTAAAGGCATCGTATACAGCTCAGCCTATCTCTGTTGAATGTAGGGTTTGTCTATTTTTGTTTTATTTTCCGTTTAATATTTCTGTTAATTTTTTATTTCCTGCTTACAATAAATCTTATCTAATTAGTAATATGCACTAAGACTACTTTACATAGGCCGTGACCTGAGACTAAAAAGTACTAAATGAGTCTTAATTTTTCAGTAAATAGTAGATATGCAGATTGATTCTGTATTGGTTATACGCTGCCATTGACTGACACTGCCAAATCAGTGTCATACAGCATGAAACTAATATTGTGGATACATTCCAAGTTTTGTCAGTAGTGAATGACTGATACTGATTTTGGAAAAGTAAAGATTAAAAGAAAAAACCACAAGTCAAATGTAAAGAAGAAAATAATCTGATTAAAAAGCTTAATATAATAAAATGAGAGTGAAGGATGATTATGTTTGAAATATTCTCTTAGGGCAGAGATGCGTGTGCATGGCTATTGTATGTTCATAGATTAGCAAAGTATAATGCCAGAAGGACTATTTAGTGTGACCTCATATATCACAGACTATTAAACATCACTGAGTTAGATAGTATAGAATATCAGTTCTCCATCTCATCAGGTATTCTGTTTGACAGGGGCCAATAGCTCATACTTCTCGTATATCTGCAAGATTGATTTACTGAACGTGTAAGGAATAGCTGGACCAAAGGAGTTTCTTCTGAACTCTAGGCAAATTATGGTTGATATGCTTTCAAATTTTATTCCTGTTAAAATCCCTGTGCACTTTGACTCATTGTTGCAAAAGAGGAGTTATACTTAGGGCTTTTTAATGTGTTTACTCTTCTTACACTTGCTCCATTTGTTTGGTTTCAATTTTTGTATTTTCCTGGCCTGAAATAACAGTGCTTGGTAAATAAATCTGAAGGCATAGAATTGAGTAATTGTTTTCCCAGCAAATTGCTTATTCACCAAAGGATCAGTTTTGGAGAAGACAGGGATTTTCATGAGTTTTAACTGATTTCAGCTGAAACAGGAATAAAAAAACCACTTAGTTTTGGAACTGGGGAACCTTAATTTTCAGGCTGGACGTGCAAAGTGACCTGCCACCTACATGTGAAGGTGAGCCGGGGGAGAGGATGTTACTGTGCTTCCCCTTTTGCTCGGGAGCCCCTCAGTTCAGATTCCTGCCTGGAGTGTGGGGTCTGGGATTCAAATCCTATCCGAGAAAGGACTTGAGGAACAGACCTCTCGTCTCCCATGAGTGCACCCTAACCCCTGTCCTGTTGTGTATGATAGGACGGGTCTGCTTTGTTTGTATAACTGATATGCACCAGGTTAGGAAGCGTGAGTGTTTGCAGAACTGGAAGAGGAGACCTGCACCAACGGGGCCGTCTTTGTTCTTACGTTAGCGGTCTGCATGTGCTGACTACGTCTGTCTTCAGGAAGTGCAGCTGCCTCGAGGAATGCCTACCTCGTTCCTAAGGCAAAGAAGAAATGAGTAACACCTCACTCTCTAGATTACAAGAGGCACTTCAGTTGCATCTGTTTTCTCAAACGTTAAGATTATTCCAGCTGTTTTGAAATGCATGTATAAAATTACATGCATTTGTAAAATGAGTGCTATCAAAATGATTAATTAAAATGATCGTAAATGCTTTAAAAAATGTTACGCATTTTGAAATTTGGAAGTTATCAAGACAGTGTCACAAAAAAAGACTTATAAAATCCAATCCTTGAATATCCTAGAGCGAGATGTATTACCCATTACCAGCTCCAAATCAGGCAGAAAAGCAATCTAAGCATATGACAATTCTGTTAAAGCGTTCAAGGAAACTACCCTCATATCTCTGCTATCTTATGAGTAATATGCAAGTCCCTCTGTAAAGCTAGCCTTTCATTTCCAAGTGTGCTTTGCTTAAGTATCCAGAACCGAAAAGAAATGCTTCAGCTCCAACTGTTTTTTGTACCTTGAAATGAATATTTTTAGTACTGACAAGCAGTTATTTACAGCCATCTAATCATGTATTATATAGAAAGTATTTAGTATTGTATGTCCCTTTTTCATGTATTCTGATAAAAATAAATGTCTATTTTATTTTTTCTTCTGTGATACTCATTAACTTTTATATTCCTGTCAAACCTGTCCTCATTTGGTGAAATGCTCCTAAAGTTGAGCAGCCCTGATCTTGTTACCCCTCTGCAGATGTTATAAAGGGCATCTCTAACCGTCAGTTTTCCAACCCCCTCTGCTTTTTCTGTACCTATTTTAATTTGAGGGAGCACAAGGGAATGCTGTTTTCCTGGACAGAATGGCACACTGATTTATAAATAAATAGTATATTTTTAGTATTACAAAGATTTAGTACTAGTCATAGTTGTTTTATATTTCAGTAATATTATTTTGACATTTTGTTCATTCTTTATGTAGTTTTTTTAACTACTGGTTTTATCTGAACAGAACTGGATTCCCACTGAGCTGCACACATTCATGCCCCAATGTTTTTCATTTACAAGTCAATGTCACTATTATTTTTTCCCTGAATATACGTTCTTGCATAGCTGTCAAAACTGAATCTAAGTTGTCACTTTATTCTCAAATGCCTTAGGAACTGGTGGTTATGGCATCCATTCCTGGGGAAACATTTCTTCCCACACACCCCACTTTAATTTATGAATTTACTGTAAATATTTCCCTTGTGTTTCTTCTTGAGCTAACATCAGATGGAAATAATTAATTTCGTAACCTTCCTTATCTCTTCTAAATTCTCCTTTTTTTAACCCTTGTACTGGGGGAACACCTCTAGGCTCCTCATGTGGATCAATTTTCTCTCCCATGCCAAATAATTTGTGACTTTACTAGCTCAGATTTTTTTTTCTTTTTCCAAATACACTCACTTTCCTAATTTCCTTGCTTGTATTCCTATTGGCTGCCGTTAGCTGGAAGATTTTTATTTCCTGAAGGGAGCTGCTTGAATAACTTTTTGAAACATATTACATAACCATAATTTTGTTTTACCATTTGATTTTTTATGTCCTTTTTTAGGAAAATGCATATGACACGTTTTGTCTTGGTGCTATGCATACTGACATATATTTAAAGCAAATCCGATAGACTTGAGTTGCATCCATTCTAAGCCAGAACCAATTCCCTTTCGGTCATTGTTTGATTACATTCACGCATTTTTAGGTTTTTCTAAAGCCCCTTTGCAAAACTTAAGATTAGCTTGTCTTTGGCATGACATCTCAGTTAATATGATGTTTACTGTTTCTTGGTTGCATCAGTATTTTTAGCTCAAAGTCAGAAGTTAAAATTGTCTCTATGAAAACAATTTGAGAATTTGGATTTTGTCCTGTGGTTTCACTAGAACGGCCCTTTTCTCCTGTTTGCTGCAGATTTAGACAAAAGCAACCTGGCGTATAAAGTATTTTCACTGCTTGTGAAAACTGACTTGTGTTGGAGTACTGGAAGTATCCATTGTTTCTTTGATTACATTTAGTTGTTTGTTTAATTTCTCTCAGTATTGAGTGCTTAAAACCCCTTCCCTCTTGCACGTCTATAGGACTGGAGGTCAACCTAAAGTTCAGTGGTGAGATAGACAGGCTAATATACTCTCTGATGTGTGGTTGGTGTGAGCATTCTTTTCAGTGAAAAGCAAAGTATAGTTCATCTGCAGTAACTAATAAAAAGCTCCTCTTTCGGTTATCTTTCTTACTGTTCTCGTCTTTTAGGAAAGACTAAAATGTTATTTAGATTTCCCCTGGCTTTCTATCATCCGGAGATAGGAGTCCTGTTGTTCCTGTGTAGGCCATGAATGTTTAAATTAATTCTTAAACCTAGATTCTGTATATCTAGTAACACCAGAGATCTAGCAGACATGCTGTCTACTCACAGGGCTAGACATCTAGTAGCCTATGATCAAGTCTGGTAGGAAAGACCTCCTCTTTACTTGCAGAGGATTGGGAGGCCAGATTACCTTTGAAGTGCTTGAATATAAGAAACTGAACATACTATCTGAAACCGGCCACAACAAAGATAGCATTATCTGAGCTTTTCTTCACAATTATTGACACATGAAGGCATTTTAATCTTTACCTGCAACAGCCTTTGTTATCTCAATCTGGGCCTGAAATTGCCAGCTGTGCCATCCTCTTTGGTAATTACGTAAAATGGATAAATATCCACTGGGAGCTAGGACAAGAGCTCCAAAAATCTTTTTAATTGATCCGTGAATTAGACATAAACAGTGGTCCCTACACATGCATAACTAGAATATTTAACCATTTCTTCTGCCTAGAGCCTTCATACCTCCTTATGTGATCTCTTGCAGTCTCTTTTAGAGAACACCAAAATAAAAAGGCTGTAGATTACTCCAAGTACATTAGTGTGTTATAGAATTTATAATTATTTTGACATCCTTATTGTACACATTTACATTTACTGTCCATGTACATTCTGTTCTGTGTAGTCTGTTGACTGAAGTTTGTCAAAGTCCATATTGGGCATACGAAGAGGAGAAAAAAGAAACAATATTTCTTTCATGTAGTCGAAGTGATAATATATAACTGATAACATTTCAAAGTGTTGTGGTTTTTGGTTTGATTTTTTTTTTTTAAATAAAACACTTTGTTTCCTTCCACTGCATGAACTTTTGCCCTGTTTTATTGTTCCAGGAGGAATACAGTGCCCAAATAGTAGTGCCCTACAGGAAACGCGCAGCTGTAACGAACACTCTTGCACTGTGTATCATTGGCAGACCGGCCCGTGGGGACAGTGCATAGAGGATACGTCTGTCTCTGCTTTCAACTCCTCTGCCAGCTGGAATGGGGAGGCCACCTGTTCCGTGGGGATGCAGACAAGAAAAGTCATCTGCGTGAGAGTCAATGTGGGACAAGTGGGCCCAAAAAAGTAAAGATCTTAAAAAATATCTTCATGCTGTAATTATCTTTGGATTTTACTGCTCTATATTTATATCACCAATGAGTGCATGCAAAGACAAAAACCCCATCTTTGTGTTCTCATGAGGGAACAATTAATCTTTTAAAAATACAAAACTGAAGCGACAGACGGACTATAAAATACCTTTCTCACTATTGATTTTTACGGGTGATATTTACAGTGGTGATTTTGCTGGCAGCTGACTGACTACTAAATCCAGTTGGCTCCTTGCCATCATCAGGTCGAGTTGAGATAAAAGTCTTGAGGCATGTACGTGGTGTGCAGTGCAGCACCATTTCCAAGATCCTTGTGGTACCTCCAAACAAGCAGTGCACTATATGGATTAGTGCGGTTCCATGCAAAAATACTGTTTTGGCTCTAAATACAGTACAAGCCATGTAAGTGCATCTTCTCAGAAGCAGACTGAGGAGGTCAAGTACAGTACGGCTCTGACAGGGCATTAGTTTGAACATTAGTTTGACAACCTTTGTGAGGTTTTTCCCCCATATACATGTTTTTCTAAGAGATCCCTTTGGCCCAATGATTTAATTTTGCAGTTTAATATATGACCAGGGTTAAATACAGATTGGCTGGTAGTAAAATGCATTTGATAATATCTTCATACAGTTTGGCAGTCTGTAAATATATCCCACTGAGGACAGATTCAAAGCTGGAAGAGCTGATAGCAGAGGTCGTTTAGAAAGTTCATGAGGCAGCTATTCTCTCACTAAATATTTTCACAATGCCTGCCATTTGTTGCTTTATTCAGCAGTAGACTTATTCCTAATTTACTTTAAATGGAAATATGGGGAATAATGCCAGCACATTCGGTAATCTAAATTGTTGTGTATCTGCATTAAGTTGCTGTTCTATTCAGTCATGATACCATTATATCTTTTATTTGTTACTCATTTTACATTTTTAAAAAATCTCTAATGATTTCTCGTCCTTTTTAAATTTGCTGTTAATGTCTCTGCCTTTGATTTGACCTTAAATTTTTGGGAGGAGGACTGTTTTATTGTGTCGTAAATGAATCCTGTGAAATGAGAAAAAGAGTCTCAGTTGATCCTTCAAATTGCCACCTTAAAATCACTGAATCGTTTTTAAAGAACCAGACATTTAACATGAAAATGTAAATAGGAACCTTGTTTTAAGCACCCCTTAATAAAAAGGATTACTGCGGTATGATACAATCAATATTATTGGCCTTATCTACCTCGCAAGTTACAGACTTCAGCTTGTATCTCTTCTGTTTAATTTGACCTTGAGTAAGGACTGCGGAAAAATCAATACTTTGCTTTAAGCCACATATACTAAATACAAACAATATAAAAGATAGAAATGGTGTTCTAATTGAACTAATTGCCTTGCCCATGGCTCTGAAGAGGAATTGTAATGTTCAGTGCTCCTGAAAGATGACGTTCTTAGTGAAACAGTGAATGTGTATAATTCAGACTTTTTTGTATGCTTATAATTTCTGTTGTTCTTTAAGGAAAAAGCCATTAGTAAGCCAACGTTCAGTACTTTTCAGAAGCATTTTGAATTTTAACCTTACAGAAAATTTCTGAAATTGTAGTCAATGTATACGATTGGCAGATTTTTTTTTAAAGTGTACCTGACCATATATAATACACCCATGCATACATAATCTGATTTTATGAATCACATAGAAACAAGGCACAATTTGACTTAAAAATGTAGAGAGCTTACGGAGAGGTGATGGAGATTTAAGTTGCTATAGCTATAATATTTCATGGTCTTTCATGTTAGTATTTTAGGGGAGAAAAGAGAAAGGGTGGAGATGTTATAAGAAGGCACCAAGAAGTTGGTGCTGGTTCACAGTAATGGATCATACTCTGAGAAGTTTATGTGAATTGACAGGAAAATGCAGAGACAACTGATGGAAATAATGAACTAGCAAGTGTTATTGCTGAAGGACATGTTCCTGTAATGCTGCAACTCAACTTTCCTTCTCAATTTCCCCCTGCTTCTCCTGCCACACTGACACGGGTTTAGGCCTCTACCGACCATGGAGACCACATTTTCTCCGTAGTTCATTGTTAGACTCGCCTGTGCTCCCTTCAGCCTGGCAAGAAAGATGCCTTGCGCAAGCCAGGCTTCCCCAGCTGATCCAATCCAAATATAAAACCGGTCTCTCATCTCTCTGGTCCAAGATGCCCAGCAGCCACAAGAGAAAAAACTAGTCATAGTAATGTTTTTCTGCAATGAGCCAAAAGCTGTAAAATATAAACGTGATGTTTTTCTTACCTCTTTATGTAATCCTCTGACAGTCCACATTCTGTGCACTTTTAGGGCAATAGTCTTTTTGAAATTATTTTAAAGATTTGCAGTACTTCTGCAAGAGTTATTGCATCATTCTGAAAACAAGTATTGCAGCATAGAGAGTTGTTTGTCCTTGATGAAATAATAGGAACACAGAACAGGGGAAAATGACTTGGGTTAATGAGTCCCATATGTGGCAGTCCAATAATCCCTTTTATATGCTGATCAAGCCTCTTCCTAAAACAAGCAAGGTTTTCTGTCCTTTCTGACAGTCTTTCACAGTCTCATTGATCTGGCAGTTTCAAACCCTTTTCTGGTTTCTGTCATGATCATGGCCAGCTTATACCTGGCCATGTTCCTGGGTTAGCAATGTTATTTAGTTTAAATATGCCTCCTTCCAGAGTTTATGTTTCAGGTAAATTTATGAAGAGCTAAAAATGTATTTTGCTAAGCTAAACTAGAATCATAGAATCATAGAATAGTTTGGGTTGGAAGGGAACTAGATGGCTTTTCTGCATAATCATTTGGAAGCTTGAAAACAACACTCAAAAGGCAGAGTCTGGAATGGTGAGTGAGGAATCATGATTTTTTTTTTTTAGTTAAATCCCCAGGTGTAGAATGCACCAGTTTTGGCTTGCTTCCACCAGCTTTATTTAAATTCTAACAGTTTTATTTCTGAGCTCAATCCTGGTGAATTCTGGGCAACTAACACTCCTCTCATGTGCCTGCAGACATTCAGTACATCTCGTGATTCACCACTTCACTGCAGAATGATTGTTTATTTGATAATACTTCTTTTTTGGGTTGGTTTTTTTTTTTTTTTAGATGCCCTGAGAGCCTCCGACCAGAAACAGTGAGGCCTTGTCTGCTTCCCTGTAGGAAGGACTGTATTGTGACTCCATTCAGTGACTGGACATTGTGTCCTTCTTCATGTCAAGAAGGTAATTTTATCCATTGTGTGCTGGTAGACAGATTTTTAAGGAAAAAAAAAAAAAAAAGAGTCAGACTAGGAGTCACTTTTGGCAGAATACTTACATACATCTCTTTCTGACAGAGGACATGTAATAGCTGGTAGAGCAGCTGCAAGGAGCAGAATGTTTTTGCTGAATAGAACAGTTATTTCTATACATTTTCTGTAAGCATCTGTTTGGGTTTTTTTCCCCATTTTGCCTACTTTTATGTTACAAACTCCCATTTGCATCTTCCGCTGATAAAGAGAGAACTAGTCACAGAGCAGACACATATCTCTTAGTGTAACACCAAAACAGATACTTGTACAATTACAGAAACTGTATTTGAAAAGAGAGAGAGAGTGAGATGTGCATATGTATATAATTTTGGCAAAACTCTTTCACTTTTGCCTGTGCTGGTTTATTCCACCCAAATGAAAATGGAAGGACAGTTAATAAAAATCAGCAGACTTTAAGTTGATGTTAATGGTCTGACTTGAACATACATTGCAATACCATTTTAATACACTTGGCAAAGTTCTTAAAAACAGTGCAGGTCTCCCTTGAATTTTTATTACATTGAAATTGTACATAAAGTTAAAGTGATGACTGATTTAATATTGCCCACATTTTTCTGCCTTACCTCTTCTTCTCTTTTAAGCTTAACAGGAGGTATTTTTATAATATGTACTATTACAGACAGAGTCTATAATACCCGAAGTTCCACGGGGCGCTAATCCCTATGTGGAATGCGGTGATTACTCGCGGCAACCATATTATCAGAATGCAAGATATTGTTACATCGAATATACGCACTTCAAATGTCACGGCTAATTCTTTATGCTTTATAAAAGACACAAGCATAGAATCATTTTTGCAGTAATTCATATTAGTGCTTAATGCACTCTAACAAATAAAAAAGGGGTTAGGAAGATTAAATTTAAAACCTTTGAAAAAGAACAGAGAAGTAAGACCATTGAATCTGAATCTATTAAATAGTTCTTCATTATTAAATACTGTGTTATTTTACAGCAATATTAATGGTTCTTTCTGAAATATCTTTGTTGGGGCAGATCATCTTGGACAAAAATGCCATCCTCTTCTGTTCTTATTTCTGCGGGTTTTAAGAAAGGTCTTGATACAATGAACATATCTTCACGAATATTGACTACAAACTAGCATGTATGCTGCTAAAACCAGTATATTTGTGAACCAATACAGGCCTTTTGTCTATTCAGTGAGTCAAACTCTTTTTATACTACACAAACAATTTTTATTTCATGGGTTTTACCTATTTGTGTCAGCAAGCTGGTCAGCAGCTTTGCTGGGCTGCACGTCTGTCTTGCCCCTTGTGCCAGCTCCTGGCATCTCCTGGAGCTGATTGACTCAGGAGTGGAGGGTTTCCTCTGCATTGAAAAGCGGCCAGGTGGTGGAAAGACACCGCCGGGATTCTCCTACTGCTTGCTCCTAATTACAATTGTTTGGCTGTGGTCCAGCATGCTTCTGTGTTCAGACAAGCTGCAGCTGCTGTAATAACCCACCCAAAGCCAGTATCAACCTAGTCAGCCAAATGTCTGTGCCTACAGCTCTCTGGAAAAAAAACAAAACAAAACAACCCCAAGATTTTTACCTAACGATATTTGTGTATTAGGTATTGCTACAGAATTAATATAAATTTGTGTGTTTTCTCTTAATTTTCTGCCTGAAGAACAGACATCTGAAGATGACTGGAATCAAAATTCCTACAGGAACTATTTACTGTTTATCATTAATAATGAATGAGTATAATAATTAAAAACTGTAAACTATAAATTAATTCCAGAGTGGGAAATGAAACTTCACATTTAAATGTAAAGCATGCTCTTTTGGAATAGTTTTTCTGTGTCTAGATAGGGTAATGCTAGTCCCAGGTGGGAAACGAGGGTATAGGGAGCAGAATTAATGCCCAGCCTGGAGAGAACCAAGACTGTAAATTAAAGTTGTTATATTCCCGGCTGTGGAGATAAGCAAAAGGCAAGCAGATTTTCTGATCGAGTCATTTATTGAATGGAAAAATTGTGAAATATAATAATTTCTTTCCACTAATTTCTGTTTCTGGTTTTGCATGCAAATGATTAGGGCAAATTTACACTTTGAAACTGTAAAGTGTAGCAGCAAACTGAGCTGGTTTAATTTTTGTTCACTTGAACTGTGTGTTCACTTCAGCTGTATATTCATTTGTTCAGTACTGCTACTGTTTCTTTCTGATTAGTTCTGCTTCCTGGCCTTCAGCTGAGATTAAAGTGTTTTATCTATTAGGCTTAATTTTCTGCTTATGGACACAATAGCATGTCACTACTATAGCAATTGACTCAAATACCTGTTATGTTAAATCTTATTTTCCCCCTAATTACTGTCATCCATATGTAGTAGCAGGAGAAACAAGCTCTTCTACTCGTTGCAGGGGGTGTCACAGTAAAGAAGCAGTCCCGTCACCGAGTCATCATCCAGCTCCCTGCCAACGGTGGTCGTGAGTGCCCAGACTCCTTGTTTGAAGAAAAGGAGTGTGAAGTTTCTCCTGTCTGCTATAGCTACAGGTAGTCTAAATCAACCAGAGACAGCTCAGACATGATTTTTCAACTTGTACTACCTCAAAAGCTTGTTAAATTCCACTTCTTAAGAAAAATAGGCTACATAGCTAAATCAAGGTTTCAGAACAGATACGTAGACTCAGTTGGGCCCATAGTGAATCACTAGTTCATTTTGTTCCAGTTCCTTTGCAGGAACATTGCAACTACTAAGAATTACTTTCCAGGCTAAATCTTTCTTAACAACTATTTTGAAATTCTATATGATTAAAAAAATCTTCCTTTCTAAATGATCCAAAGCACTGAAATGCAGCCTCATCTGTTTAGGAGAGCTGAGTTCTGCTGCCGCACTGTGCCATGCACTGTATCCTCCATCTTTCCATCCCCGTCAGCCCTGAGATAGTCCACAGTTGATATATTGCCTAATGTACAAAATCCTGCGTTGACCAAATCTTCACCAGAGAATGATGAGGACTGTTCCAACAGGTGGGGATCTCCACCATAACTGCTTAAGAAAATTTCTGGGCAGTTTTGTATTATCTGTCTGAGTGGCATGGGAAAGTCTAGATGTACGGCAAGATCTGTCTGTTGATACAGACAAAGCTTAGAAAATTCTGATGCAGTTGGTTGGATTTACTTGATGAAATTAAAAAAAAAGATTTTTTTTTTAATGAATAATAAATATGTTTGAATTGGAAGCCAATGTTCTGTTTCTCCAGTGGCTAGAGAAGAACACCTGCTAGTTCCCATGAAACCCCTCTATGTTGCAGTGGTGCAATAGAATTTAAGCTTATTTTAGCCAAAACAAATTGAGATTAAAGAAATGTGTTGTTTTCATTATCTGGTAAGAATTATCTTTGCAAATTCATTAGGATGATCACACTGTATATAACTGAAAGATATGAAAGGATGTAAAACAGCATTGGGAAGCTACCAAAATCAGTACTCCAAACATCAGAAATATAGCTCGAGAACTTTTTCTAGTCAATACCAGAGTCAGAGTTTTATCTTTTAAAATGCTAGCTGCTCCTCATCTCTTTAGTATCTTCAGTATCAAATTTTACCTGAGCTAGTGCATGATGATGTGCTGAGCAGAAGAGTTGCTAGGGAGTGGTAGATGAGGTGATTTAAATTTCATGACACAAACTAGTACAAAAAACATTTTCTGTATATTTCCTTTAGCATCTTTCTGACCTACACTTGCTGCGACAGATGGACACAGACACTCAGCTTGGCTCATGCCTTAGTTTAGATACTGGCCTGCAGAGGCAAGTTACAATGAAACTTGAGGTGCAAAACCATTGAAATAATTTTAAATATGAGAGCAGTCGATGGTTTGAGCTGGGGACATACCATTCCCCCCTCCCCCCCATACTGAGTAATTCAGACAACTGTGGATTATTTCAGAGATGTGACAATAACCACACTTGCCTGGATTTGTTATATTTAAGGCCTAGGTTATTCTGCAGCACTAGAAGGGAACTTTGTAAAAGTTTTGTAGCAGTTTATATTAAAGATAGAATAATTTAAGCAGCACAATATTGCATTTCTTATCAAAGTTTTTTGCAAGTTCTTTTTGTGTTCTATTTTGATATGGTCTGGGCCCATATTCACATTGTGTTGGATCTCTTCGTTGGCTCCACATTTGTAAGGTGCTGCCATCCAGCTACCTGAGACCCCAGGTGCTCTGGGATTGCCTGAGGCACCCTCACAGTCATTTAAACCCACTGTCCCAATGCTTTGCTGTAGCTGGGGTCCCTTTTTGCTTCTGATTTCTCCTTTTGGGATAGTGTTTGGAAGATGAAGCTTAGGAAAGGAATTTGTTTGTTGTGAAAACTTTACCCTTGTAATCATGTCATTTGAAATTTGAGAAAAAAAAAAAAACCAAAAATCCGAAGACTTTGCTCATCTGACCTCATCTTTGTCTGTAACTCCAAGACTTGTTTGTGCTTCAAATAAGGCAGAATTCCTCCATCTGTTATTGTGTTGCAAGGCATGCCTAAGGGAGGGGACGAAAAGACCTGGGGAAGAGGAAAGAAGCAAAAGAGAAAGAAATGCACTAACACTTCTATGTGACAGTATTTACTGCCAAAAGAAACTCCCAGTACTGCGTGAACCAGAAATCAACCCTGGAGTCTTATCTCTGGAGTGTATTTGGGAAACTTCAACACATCTTTGCTTCACTGAGATAGGTGGAAAAAAGAAAGGAAGGAAGGGAAAGTGAGAAAGAGAGGAGGCTTATTAGGGTATGCTAGTATTCAAAACTCATTTAATGGGTCCATGTTGTTTTTATGAGATGTTAGTGTCACTTTACTAAATCCACTTTTCAAATTTTATTGTCATTTTGTTGACTGGTAAAATACTCTGAGCATGCTCAGATATAAATCCATAGCAAAGGAGGTCTGTTAAACGGGTATTCAAGTCACAATTTTATTATTTTGTATAGTATCTTTTTTGAAATTTCTTTCTCATATCTTGTATAAGTGTGTTAATGCTTTGTATTAATGTATATACCTCATATTGTGGTTTGTGTTCACCGTGTATTTGTTAGGTAGTGTTAATGTACCTTTGTACTTTGAAATCCTAGAAAATATATATGGTTTGCTTTCTCTTCCCTCCTCCACCTCCTCTTTCCTTCCCTGTGTTTTTAATGGCCTAATCCTAAAAGGAGTAAAAAAGTTAACAGGAAAGAGGGAAAAGTTTACGGTATTTTTACTGTTTGTTGTAAATTGGCTGTGACCAGTCAGTAATAATAAACAATAGCTTATGGTGGTTTCTAATACTATCTAGCACTTGTGCTGCCTCAGTTTTGATTGCTACAAGTTTAGATGGATTGTTTGAAATGGATTGTTTCTCCCCTCGTTTCAGGTGGAAGACCCACAAGTGGCGCAGGTGCCAGCTAGTACCATGGTATGTGCGCCAAGACAGTCCAGGAGCACATGAGACTTGTGGACCTGGGCTACAAGCAAGAGGTTAGACACTTCTGTCATATATTCCTCAGAAATCTATAGCTGCACTGGTGTGGGAAATGCCTAAAATTTTAGTCATTATAACCTAACATTAACTTTATCTGTCTTTATGTGCATCAGCAAAGGAAAATACTGAATGCTAGTATAGTAGGGTGCATTCTAGCTGGCATTTGGCAAATATTTTATTAATAAAATATCAGTATTAATTTATTTTTAAATATAGATACCACATTAGTGTCTAATTTTATGCTATTGTTTGTTCAGTTTATTTCACCATACTTACCTGAAGCAAGTTTGCAGAGGTGTTTGTGGAAAGTATGTTTTCAAAAAGAAGAAAAAAAAGAAAAGGATGGGTGACTTTACACGCTTCTTTTTGTGAAAAAGGTTGTGTAAAGTCACCTGTGAAAATGTGACATTTTTCATGTGGTGAGGATGTGAAGACATTTTTATGGGTATATCCATTACACCGAATAATAAGACTTTTGCTCCCTGTAAGTGCTTGTTTGAAAATTTAGGATCAGAGAACCCTACAATATTTTTGAGTTGGAAGGACACTTTGGAGGTCCCTTGGTCCAACCTTCCATCCAGAGCAGGGCCAGTTTCAAAGTTAGATCTCACCCAGACGTGAGCAGTTTGCTCAGGGCCATGTCTCAACACGTTTGGAGTATCTCCCAGGATGGAGATCCTACAGCCTCTCTGGACAGTTGCTCCAGTGCTTGTCCAGTCTAGCACTGCATTTTTTTTTTTTTCTTCTAATATCTAAGCTGCAATTTCCCTTGCTGCAATTTGTGTCTGTGGCCCCTAGCTAGAACAGGCTAGCTCTCTCTTATCTATACCCTCAAATTAGGTAGTTGTAGAGAGCAACGGGAGCATGACAGATGCAGGACTTTGCATTTACACTGTTAAAGTTCAGTGCCAGCCCATTTCTCCAAGCTGTCAAGGTCCTCTGAATGGCAGCCCTACCCTCCAGGTAGCTATTGACTGCTCCTCTCAAACAGGTGTTGTCCCCAAACCTGCTGAGGATGCTTTCTGTACCGGTTGTTAAAGATGCTAAACAGAACTGGCCCTGGAATTAACCACTGAGGTGCAGCACTCTTAACCAGCTGCTCATTGGACTTCAAAACCACTGACCCTTCGAGCCCAGTGATTCAGACATTTTTCTGCCATTTCCATTTGATAACAAATAATTTTAGCATCCATATCCAGCTTTACCGTCACCTGTCTTCATAGAGGGTTTTGTGGATTTGACAGAACTGTGTATGTGTGACTCTGTTAAGTATAGTCAGGAGATGGTTTTTTAGGTGCATTAAATAAATTCAGTATGAAAATAATTGCAATTCCTACTTACTGTGTTACAGTAATTGAATTGCTTTGAACTACTAGTCAACCCTGAATTCCAGGAAGGTTTTTTTCTTTTGCCTTTTCTGAGTGCAAACTCCCACCCATTAAAACAATATTGGCTCAGCAGATTGTGGAATTCCTGAGCAAGGACACTGGTAACTGCAGAAGTGAAATGTTCTGGTCATTAACTTCCTTGCAGTATTAAAGGAGGTTATGGTACACTTAAAAAAGTCATAGAGTAAATCTTAAGCTAGTAACTCCTACCACTTACTCAGAAAGTGTTACAGGAGATCAATTTAGGGTTTACCACAAAATGAAACCTGAAGGTATTGCCTGCTAATACAAAAGACTTCTGGCTGTGGTAATTCTTTCAAAGGTCTATCACTAGTGCAATCTATTTCTAGCAGCTCTGGAGGATACATTCAGATTACACACTGAGACAATAAGATTTCTGTCTCTGACGGTAGGAGTTCAGATAGTACAAAATATTGTCTTCTGTACTTGCATGGTAGTACCTAAATCTATTGACTTTGCCTCAAAGTCAGTTAATAAAGAAAGATAGTTAACTGTACTGCATGCAAATTGTTTTTTATTATTCTTGTACATCATGAGAGTTTCCTTTTTTTAAACTGTAATTTCAATCATGTGTGGTACACACACATGCAGAGTAATACGTTATCTTGGAACTACTGGGCATACAGTTCTCAAATCTGGTAAAATAGATCGGCAGAACTTCCCTCTGGTACTACACAGTTTATCTTGCAAAGGATGATGTATTCAAGCAGTAGTCTTGTTCCTACAAGCAGATATAATGGAATTAGCTCTCTAGTGTAATGTGGTCAAGTGGTAGGATGAGCAATCGTTAATTAAGAACCCTGGGAGCAGCTAAGCCTGAAGGAAGCGGGTGGTTTTGGTAGAATTCTGTAAATGTTTCTGAAATCAACTGTTAGAAAGGGGAGATTTTTGTTTGCTCTTGCTTTTTACTAAGTCTATCCAATGCATAAATTTTATTGTAGAACTCATGGAGAAAGTTATTTAAGTTGAATAACCAAAGATTATTTGTGCCTCAGTCCAAGTATCTAAATAAGAATCTAAGTATTGTCTAGCCTGTTGCAGTGGTGAAAGTTACAGGCATTAAACACAGAGCCTTTTTTGGCCCAGTATTTTTCCCATTGATGTAAATTAACAGAAAATGTAAGTTTCAAACACAAGTGTATTATGTATCATGTCTCAGTGTTTTAATACCTGACAATGTGTTGAATATATCTTCTACTTTTGTGCTCAGTACTGTAAACTGATATTCTGTAGGAGCTAAACTAGTACAGCTTTTCTTTAGATTGAGAAAAGTAGAATAATTTCTGTTTTCTTGAACATCATTACAATGAATATGACTTGGAAGTAATAGTTGAATTTTTGCACAAAAGTAACTTTCACTTTGGAAAATATACTTCTGCAATTCTAGAGATTATTGGTTGAAGTTTTATTTACTTCACACCTCAGAAAATTGCATTTTGAACATGGATAGTGTGTTTTATTTGTTTTATATAGGTTATCTCCTACACAGGGTATTAACATACTCCATTTCCCCTCTTACATTTCAAATTGTGCCATGAAAATCGCCATGTGTGAATTTTCAGTGGTGCACATTATTTTGTTTGGTGCCCTGCACAAGAGTTGATTTCATGCAAGGTATGAAATACTCGCTGAAGGGAGGCTGACCTGAAAGCAAGCATCCGGCTGACTGAGCTCTGCCCTGGACACTATTAGAAAGATTTCACCAATTTCTGAAGGAAGACTCTGGAAGAGGGTTTGTCCCCTCTCCCTGCTAATTCTTCGCTCCTGCTTGCATACTTGGCTTGTCGTAAATAAGTTCCTACAGGTTATGGAAAACTTTGCATGACAATATCTTATTAAAAATTCTATACTAGAAATAATTTATTTAAAGATTATTTTGTGATGTAGATACAGAAAAGGCTGAGCTCCTACTGTGCAAATCCTTTTAACCACCCTAAAATCAGGAAATGCCAAACACTGAAATGTGAAATCCATTTGGTATAACATTCTGATATTGCATTTATAATGTGATAGTGGAATAAAGATATTTTGAACAGATCATTTAACTGTTTGTTGGTGATTTCTGTACAAATGTTTACTATCCTGTGAAAATGTAGACATAGCAGCATTTCTTTTCCAATTGAAAAAAAGTTCTCTCTCAAATTTCTGATACTCATGAATGCAGAAATCACACATTCATTCATCTGTTTGTGGTAATTTACTTTTGATGACAAAGTGAAACAATAATGTTATAGAAGTAATCTCAGCCCTTTGGTTTCCTGTGGATTGTCCTTTCATTTTGTGTTGATACTCAGTAGAGCAAGTAATTGCATTCTTGTGTGTGAGAACAGTTCTCAGTTCCTCTTTTTCAGTGCAAGGGGATGTTACCAATGCTATTAGTTTGTCCTATTTCTGATCTGGTTGCCTACGCACACTGTAACACGTAACGACATCAGCAAATATGTTAAATAAGAAAGAATAGGAATGTACACCAGGGAAAAGGCACATCTGACTATGCATTCATTAGCGGTTTATTTTGAACAAAATAGTCTGCACAGTTCATATTTTAGTTAGAAAGATAATTAAAACTGAAGAAAAAAACTAGAAATCATTAAAATGGCTGGTTAGGTGTCTGATCTTAACAGTCTATGAGTAACTAGAGCATATGCATGCCTTGCTTTAGATCACAGCTTTACTATTTACATTTCCATTCTTCAGCTTTTTTATCACATTGGTCTTCCTTGGCAGAAGAGATACTTGGGTGAATCATAAAGTTTAGAATTGTGATTCATTGTTAAAGACAGCTCTGTTTCTAGCTGTCTTGTATAATGAAGGTTTCTTACAAATCATGTCACTTTAAATGAACACGTCACAAAATTAGAACTGGGGTCAATGCAGAGGAAAGAATAAAAGGGTTTGGTGGGTGTTTTTGTTTTAAGAACAAATTTTTTTTAGCATTTTTTAAAGAAATAAGTTTGTTAATTATTCATGCAAATGATGGACAGGTATTTATATCTAAATCTAAGCATAGTAACATAGCATTTAATACCTGAGCAGCAAATTCATTGTTGTAGTCATGAACCTTATTTGAACAAGGCAGATAGTCATGACAATTGTGTTGAATTTCTATGATGAATGAAAATCTGCAGTCATATCACTGGTAAAATGCCTTTTAACAGTGGCAGGAATGTATTATGGAATTGCAGTAACTTAAGACATCTAACTGTCTCTTGTTCAAAACCCTCGAGAGAGGATATTGTGGGTGCATCAGCAAGGAGTTTGAAACTTCCTTTTGACCCTATCCAACAGGAACAGGAAATGTAGAGAAAAGCCATATTTTACTGAAACAGCATTTATGTTGTCTTTATGTTAATAAGCTGTTTCTCAATTAACAAGAGTAAATTGACCAGATGTCTCAATGAGTCACCTGAAACCCAGGAGGGAGAGGCACAGTGTTGGCAAACACAAAATATCAAAAAAATTACAGAAAACTAGAACAAGAGAGTAAATGCTTGATAAAGCCAGGCTACTAGTATTTGATGGGGATGTGGGCTATGAAACTCACTGTGAGAGGAACCTGCTAAGAGGGTGTGCTAAGAGATAATACT